TAACTCACTTCCACTGCATGGGGTCCAGTCCAGTCACTTCAGCCATAGTCCTGAATCTCTTGTGTTCTAGTGTCCACAGTATAGAGTAATACCAACTCATGAAGTTGTGAGGATGAAGTGAGAAAATTATGACAAAGCGTTTAGGGCGATGCCTGACATATAAGTAAACATCAGTTATGATTTTTACTCATCAGATTTGGAGTGGAATCAGCCATCTCTGTGTTTAGAAAACTCCATAGGCGCTTTCTACAGTGTTGAGCCCAACAAAGGAGCTAACGAAGGATTCTTAAGCCAGGAAGTTGTTACTTGACTTGTTAGATCTAATTCTTGTTTTAGAAGAATTAGTGACAAATGGGGCACCTGGATGGCTCATTCCCTCAAGTGTCTGCGTTGGGCTCTGGTCAAGACCTTGGGGTCCTTGAATTGAGCCCCGCATGGGTCTCTCTGCTCAGCAGGGAGGGTGCTTCTCCCTCTACCCCTCCCCCGACCTGTGCTCTCTCTCCCTCTCTCCATCTCTGTCAAATAAAATCTTTAAAAAAAAAAAAAAAAGTGACAACCTAGACTTAAGTCAGCCGTAGCAATGTAACCTAGAAACGATGCAAGCTAGCACTAAGATATTGGCCATGAGGTAGAGAGAATGCGATGGTTTCAGGAGATATTTGGAGGGCAGAATGGTAAAACTGGTAAGATGGAGACAGAGTGGGTAGGGAAAAATGCTGTTTTCTGTCTTGGGCAACAGGGTGGTGCCATTCAGAGAAGGGGGAGTGGGAACAGGGACTGAGACCACAGGATGAAGCTGGGGAAATAATTAAAAGTGGTTTTGAACAAGTTGAAATTGAGGTCTCTGTGACGTCACAAGAGAGACAACCAATGGTCATTTAGATGTATTAACATAAAGGTCTACAGAAAGAGCTGGGCAGAGCTACAGATCCAGAATCATCAGCAAGGTGAAATAACGAATGTGAATAATGTTACTAGAAGTTTTGGGGTGTGGGGCGCCCGGGTAGCTCAGTGGGTTAAGGCCTCTACCTTCGGCTCGGGTCATGATCCCAGGGTCTTGGGATCGAGCCCCACATCGGGCTTTCTGCTCAGCGGGGAGCTTGCATCCCCCCCCTTCTCTCTGCCTGCCTCTCTGCCTACTTGTGATCTCTGTCAAATAAATAAAATCTTAAAAAAAAAAAGTTTCGGGGTACCTGGGTGGCTCAGTGGGTTAAGCCGCTGCCTTCGGCTCAGGTCATGATCTCAGGGTCCTGGGATCGAGTCCCGCATCAGGCTCTCTGCTCAGCGGGGAGCCTACTTCCCCCCCTCCTCTCTCTCTGCCTGCCTCTCTGCCTACTTATGATCTCTGTCTGTCAAATAAATAAATAAAATCTTTAAAAAAAAATGTTACCAGAAGTTTCAAGTAAAAGGGTTAGAAGAGGACGTGAGCAGAGATTGATGACAGGATATTTAGCCACCACTTTTGACCCTGAGGGATTACGGAGCCAAGGCTCAGGTCCCTGACCTGAGGATTTCATGGAGCAGAGTGATCACACCAGCCTTGAACTGCCTGCTTCTGGATGCTTACAAGAAAGAGAAATAATGTTCTGTCTTACCAAAGCCACTGTTGGTTACCCAAACCCAGGTGTTTTTCTGTTATTTGAAGCAGAATCTAGTGTTAGTGGGTGTAAGGACCAAATTTCAGATTCATCCTCAGACATACACTTAGACACTGAGTTCTGTAGATAGTCTAAGTCCCCTTAGAAACAAACTTCCCCAGACACAGATTTGCTCTTCCAACACGTACTAGCCATCTCTTAAAGCACTGACCTTCAATATACCTACCCATGCCTTTCTGCAAAACAACATGTAGCCCCTTACATACACACATTTACCTCCTATTCTCATATTCTTACTACACCACTCCTAACACAAAAATTTGATCTTTTCCTGATTCACTGACACACACAGACACACCTGCCTCATTTCTCACTATTTGACTCACACGGTATAACCCCTTAAGATACATGCACTGATCCCTCACTCACACTCCTTTCTTAAAATTTATTCATACCCTCAAATGCACACACACTCACTCTCGTAGGTGCAAACGTTGGCCGGAGACACACCTGGTTACCACACTCAAGCAGACACTCCTTCCCTTATTCAGACGCCTTTGTTGTCTTTCATGATTTTAGAGAAAGTATGTTGACCAGTAATGTGCTGGTAAATGTTTAACAACAACCTCTCCAGGCTGGGAAGGAGGAGCTCTGATTTACAGCATTTGTCAATTTTCACAGTGTACTCTGGCCATGGCCGATTTCAAGGTAACAATGATTTTACAACCTGCTCACAAAATGCCTGACAATTGCACAATGGCTCTCAGAAGCTCTCCGCTCCAGTATACCCTGAACGCCGACCGTCGCACATGCTCTCACTTGCTTTAAGTGACTCACTGGCCTTAGCCACAGGGTGGCTGAAGAGCAAGGGACTTTAATTCTCTACCTCATGGAGGCAGTGTAGTGCGTGGTTAACAGCTAGTATGTTACTATCTTAAAAGTGCTGTGATGAGGCTTTATTTTTTTTTTTTTAAAGATTTTATTTTTATTTATTTGACAGAGAGAGAGAGAGATCACAAGGAGGCAGAGAGGCAGGCAGAGAGAGAGAGGAGGAAGCAGGCTCCCTGCTGAGCAGAGATCCCGATGCGGGGCTCGATCCCAGGACCCTGAGATCATAACCCGAGCCGAAGGCAGAGGCTCCAACCCACTGAGCCACCCAGGCGCCCCTGTGATGAGGCTTTAAATGAGGTTTATAGAGAGCTGAGCATAATGCCTGGCCCGTAATAAGGACATTGTACAAATTTATTCTAAATAACCCTTTCTGATTCGCTCACCCCCAAAGACACCCAAGGCTCCAGAAATAGAGATCCAACTTCTCCCCAAGACAACTTGGGGTTCTTTTTTTTTTTTTTTTTTAAAGACAGCCGATTCTACCATAGAGATTCACTAAACTATATCTTCTGAGCAAAGGCCTTAATTGTGTGGTACACACTCTCCAAACTCAAGGAGTTTAGAGGAAAGAAAACCTAAAATGTCAGAGCTGGAGGAGACGGCACACCGACAACCCTTGGGCAAATTCAGTTCTCAAAAGTGTTTTGTTTGGTCAGCAGAAAGCGTGTCTCTTCCATTTTCACAGTCCCCATCCTTCCCATTGTCTTACCCCCTCCCCACTCTGCTCAATTTTGCCACAGGCCCAGCCCTTCAGCCAATCCAGCTTGCCACTCCCTGATTGAAAATGAATATCCTTGTATTTTTAAATTGAGGTTTAGGTGGGTAAATGATAATCAAAGTTAACTTACTGACCATTTACTTTGTGTCAGGCACTATCTTAATTAATACTTCAACCCTAAGAGTCAGGTACTTCCGAATCTTTTTTTCACAGACAGGAAACAGGCTCAGAGAGAGGAACTAACTTGCCAAGTCACAGACCTAATAAGCAATTTGAGTCTTTGAATCAAGGTGTGTTTGACTCGTGTCTACTAAAATGTGACAAGATCAAGGGGAGAGAGGACATTCCAGGAGAGATAGCCCAAGTGAAGGGGGAGGAGACAGGCCTGCCTTCCGCGGATACCAGGCATTGGTTTGAACACTGGCAGATAAATGTATTGATTTTTTTTTTTAAGATTTTATTTATTTATTTGTCAGAGAGAGAGGAGCGAGAGCGAGCACAGGCAGACAGAGTGGCAGGCAGAGGGAGAGGGAGAAGCAGGCTCCCTGCCAAGCAAGGAGCCCGATGTGAGACTCGATCCCAGGATGCTGGGATCATGACCTGAGCTGAAGGCAGCTGCTTAACCAACTGAGCCACCCAGGTGTCCCAAAGGTATTGATTTTTGGACAAACTGAGTTGGGCTCTTTCCCTTCACTCCCCCTCCCACCATCCCAGGATAAGCCTGGAATCCTGCAAAAGAGGGTTCTCTTAACTGGTCTTTGTTTCTCACTGCCATCCTAGTTCATCTCGGTATGTAATCCTACTCATGACGGTTAGGAAACGAAAATAACTCTTCAAACCTGCCCCTGTTCAAAATCCTTCAGGACCTGCCCCTGCTCTGAGGATAAAATCTGAAAAGTTTTAACATGGCCTTTAAGACCCTTTCTCTGCCCTCCCATCCAGCCTGATTATGCTAATCTCCCCATTGTCGGCAGGGGGGGGGGGCGTCCCTTTGTATGAATAACATTGAGGTAATGTTTATTAAGGCTCTCCTCATCCTTTGGCCATCTCATCCTCACCATCGCACTCAGCTCGAATGTAACTCTCTCAAAGAGGCCCTGAGACTCCCTACTCCATTTAGACGAGGCTGCTCTGTTCTCATAGCACTCTTGTCTTTCTTCACATAGCTTTGCATGTGGCGCAATTATTATTATTATTTTTTTTTAGAAAGGGAGGGAGGGAGGAGTCGAGGGAGGAGAGAGAGAATCTTAAGCAGGCTCCAAGCCCAATGCAGAGCCGGAGGCAGGGCTTGATCTGATGACCCTGAGATCTTGACCTGAGCCAAAATCAAGATTTAAAGGCTTAACCGATGGAGCCATCCAGGCGCCCCAGCATGTTACATGATTATTAATGTGTGTGTGTGTGTGTGTGTGTGTGTGTGTGTTTAAGATTAAGGTCTGTATCCATCACAGGTCTATAAATTCCTCGGGGACAGGGACTGTGCCCATTTCCACGATTGCTGTGTTCCCAGCAGTTAGCACAGCCCCTACCTCTACTGGTATTTGGAGAGTAAACGGACGAATTACAGATGCAGGCAGGAACCCTATCTCCTTTTCATTGGGTGGCACACATCCACAGAACAGACAAACGTTGACAGTGCTCAAGCAGACATTTGAGTAAGTTTTGACAATGAGGACAAAGATTTATTTCAGCTTAAACTTTATTGGTTTGGCTTCTCTTGGGTACCCTGGAGTGGAGCTGAGTCCTGAGTGAGCTAAGGGCAGAGTCCAGGCCCGAGCTGGGTTTGGTCTGAGTCACTGAAATCTGGGGAGAGTGGAAAGAAGAGGGGAAGTGGTTGGAGAGGAGGGTCACTATCTACTCGGAGTCAGCAAATTAATTCATCCTGGTCCCCAGCCAAGGTTCAATGACCTTTTTAATTATAAGTAATCAAAATGATTCCAAAAAGCAACCATCTCCCTATGAAGAATTTCTCATACTCTCCTCCATTGCTCCTTTCCTGCCCTCTACCAGAAGCCATCCCAGATCTACTCCCTCCATGCGTCCCTAGCTCGCCAGCATCAAAGCCTGAAATGTGTTCTGGTTTCCAAGCCTCGGTGTCTGCATCTTGAATGAGGGTCCCGTCTCAGCCCTTAGGTAGATGGGCTCCTTCATGGCATTTGGCCACCCCTTGCTTCTGGGACATAACAGATTAAAGGACCTCCTAGCTGGCGAGATGGGTTCCAGAACCAATGAGACCAACAATGGCTACAGACAGGGGCAACATGCCTCCACCTCCAGGGGCCATGGGACAAGGGTACAGAGGGAGAGAGAACAGATGGGCAGCTTGGCTCAGGTGTGCAGGGGAGGGGAGCGCAGCCTCTCACCCATATAAGGTGGAGACCCAGAAGTAACGACAGCAGCCAACATCACTGAACTCTTCCTCCCACCATGTTGCTCTCAGTTCTTTCCTCCGATGATCTTATTTAAACCTGACAACAATCCCACAGAAGTGGTCTGAATAAACCTTGTTTTCTTGAGAACACTGAGGTTCAGGGAGCCTTGTTGGTTTGCTAGCACGTCCTGGGGGGCCGATCCGAACCCATGTCTGGCCCCAAAGCTCAAGTTGTAAGCGAGACACGAGACACCTGAAGCCACCAGACAGCCCACCTGCGCCTGCAGACTTCCAACTGATCCACCATCCAGGCCAGCAGCTCTCGCATCAGTAAATCCCTGAGCAAGTCTTCATCACTGGGGTTCCTGGGGAGGGAGCTGCCAAGGAGAAAACCTCAGCTGGGCTGGGCTGTTTGAGCCTGGGCTCCACCCAGAGTGAGTAAATACAGGGCTTGGGACTCCCAGAGGTGGCTGGGGTCCAGGGAGGGAGTCAACACAGCTGCCTCTCCTTATCTCAGCTTTCAAAGCTCCACCCTGACCTGTGGGCCCGGGAATAGGGGCTCTTCAGTGTAAGAGGCACCACACACCCACCTCTGAGAGCATCCCCGAATGCATCTCCAAAACCCAGGAGATTACTTTGGGGACAGTCACTCTTTAGAATGCCCACAGATTGCTCAGCTTCCCCAGAGAGGGGATCACTGATGTCAAGGGACTGGCCTTGAAAGGGTCCCTGTTCCTCAAACAGCCTTCCTGAGGTCTGTCGGGGAGAAGTAGGGAAGCCAGTTCCTGACGTCCCCCTGAGGTCTCTTTTGCTGCCCTCCTCCTTGACTCTGTGATTCTGCACACCAAGTCATCAATCTTAGGGACTCTGATCCCAAACCCCTCCTAGGACCCCAGCCCCTATTCCTCCTCTGCTTCTCCCTTAAGCTCAGGCTGGCCTCCAGGAGTTTCTCCAAGACCCTTTTCTGAACCAGGAGTGGAAGGGGATGCTTATCTGGGGCCCTGACCTGCTCTGGGGTCTGGGAGGGGGAACAATGAGGCCCTGCCCCCCCCTTCCCCTGTGGGCGGACTCACCCCTGCTGCTCCCTCTCCTCCTCCTTCCTGTCAGATTGATGGGCCAGCTCCAGGGCCCTGGCCTCCCTCTGGGTAATGTTGTGTTTCCAGCTGGTAGGGTAAAGATGCGGGAGTGGGTGGGGCTGGGAGGCTCCAGATGTTCCCCAGTCCAAAGCCTCCAATCTTTTGGGACTTTAACCCAAGTTGCCAAGCGAACCTCTTTCTCGGCTCAGCTGTTCACCAGGCTGACGGAGCAGCCAGGACAAGGTAAGACACTGGCCAAGAGAAGGAAGAAGGACCAAGTCCCAGGTGGCCACCACTGCTGGCAGCTCTGCTCCCTCTGCTTTCGTCTGCAACCCCGTGGGGATCCTCCAGGAGCCCCTACCTCTTCCCTGATCCCTCTCCTTAGAAGGAAAGGAGTGGAAAATTGCCTGGGTCCCACCCCCCCAGACTGGGCAGGTCAGGGCTACCGTGTCGCCCAGCTCCCCGTTGGTGCCTCAGTGAAAGGCACCACATGGAGTCGTGAGTCACCAGCCCATGTGGCCCACGTGGCACCCTCGAAGGAAGGTGCGGCCAGCCCCAGGCACAGGAAGGAGCGTGTGCTTCGACTCACTCGTTCTTCTTCCCCTTCTGCGCCAGCAGCCAGTTTACAAAGTCTTGCTGGCGGATCTTGTCCATGGCGATACTGTAGTCGCTGATGAAAGTTCCCTCGGCATACCTGGGGCCTCGAGGTCGGGAGCCACTGACCTTCGCGTGGACTCTGAGCGGCAGAGGGAGGAGAGAGCTAGAAGCCTGGACACCGCAGGAAGAGCAGGAGGTGAGGGGAATCAGGAGGCAGGGCCAGACGATCCTCACTCACAGGAGGCCTGTGTTTGAGAACAAACCCTCCCTTTCCTGGGAGTCCATTTTTATGGAGATCCCCTCTTGTCTAGGCATTAGGCCCCTGGGACTTTATCCTCAAGCTCAAGAACCCATTTCCGGCAGCCTCAGTGTGTGCGACTCTGGCTTGGGGCAAAGAGGGATCAGGGAAGAGGACTGACCTCAGTTCCTTCCTTCACTCTTCTCGCCTGCTCCCCTCCCCACCCCACTTCACCCCACCCCACCCCACCCCACCTCACCCCTGCCCATTCAAGGCTTTGTTCCTGGTTGCTAGGAACAAGAGTGAGCTCTTCCGTTACAGCCCTCGCTGTGGGGCCGGTCCTCTGGAAGGCCTTTACTACACAGACTCATTTGATCCTCATCTCCTCTACGAGGTAGACACTATTTCTACACCCTTTTTGGGAATGAAGAAACCAAAGGGCGGAGAGATTTTTCTAGCACATCTCTTAGGGGGCAGATCCAGGATTTAGCCTCAGGCCGGCTGGGTCCAGGTCTAAGTTCACAAGCTCCACGCCATGTTGTCCCTCCTTGCACCTGTCCAATGGCCGTGCCTCCCGTCTACACGGCTGCCTGGACGGGCCCTGTGGCCAGCCCTTGCATCTGGCAAGGCACAGCTCTCCACTCAGATGCGTCTCTCTCGGTCCTCCAGAGCACACAGCCCCCTGCTCCATGGGCTCGTGACACTCTGCTCCCCCACCACCGGAAGTGCTCAGGACAGTTGGCAACTCCCCTAGGTGGTTCCCAGGAGGCATTTAGGGACCCCTCAGCCCTAATATATATTCTGTGGCTGGTGCGCAGGGAGCCCTGCACAATTTGATCAAATGCACACGTAAGCGAATGGTCAAGGCTTCCGTTAGGAAGGGAGATGCTGTCATCTACTTCACACCTTTAACCACCGAGAAGTCCTTCCAGAGATCTAACCACAGTCTTTTCTGTGGCAACAGTAGCTCATTATAAAAACTCCTGGGTTCCGTGCGCACTCTCCACCCGGACTGTTGGCAGGGTTTCCCCTCTGGCTTCTTTCCTCTTGGCTTGGGGATTCTTCCCTTTCCCACCTCCCCCCGCCCCCGAAAACCAGAACTGGGTCATTCTCCCCAGCCTCCTCCTCTGTGCTGGACCCCTCCCCTGCAGCCCTACCTGGAGTGACCACCCGCCTTCTCTCCGAGCACCACTGCCAGGAGCAGGGACCCCAGCAGCAGACTGAAGACCTTTACGGCCACCATCTTCCAAGGGTGATTTCCTGAGCAAAGAGAGAAGAGGGACCAGGATGAGGGCAGGACCTGCTCAGGATAGTCAGCAGGGCCGGCTGTGTCCTGCTGACGCCTCGGGGCCCATGTGGGTTCTGCAAGCGAGGGACACTGAGCTCTGGATGAGGGCATGGGGGTCAAGGTCCAGGCAGAAGAAAGCAGCCCAGACCCATGGCCTGACAGCCCCCTGCCCAACTCTGGCGGCTGGACCTCACATGTATGTGGTTTGGTGGGTCTCCCCTTACAGTCTCCAGAGTCCATAGCAGCCCGCCTTCTAGCTGTCGGACTGGGCAGTCACCTAAACCATCATAGCCCTCTTGCCCCAAGTGAAAGCCACAAGTAGGACCATTCCATCCTCTCCTTCTCAGGCTTCACTCTCTCTACTCCAGGAAGCTCTTCCCGGGGTGCCCAAACATGTCTAGGTCTAGCTTTGGTTTTCAGGGCTTGGGAGGAAGGCTCTTGACTGCTCTTCACCCCTACTGAACACCCCCGGGAAGAAAAGGGGCCAGATCTCGCTCATCCTCCTGCCTTCGTCACCTGGGTGTTACAGGAATCCTGAGAGCCGCCTTCTTATTTATCAGGTAGAGGAAAAGAAAGTGAGAGGCAAGGATGGCGAGCACCCTTCTGGGTGCTGAGACCTGCTGCCTGTCCAGTATCCCGTCCACCCACCCTCCATCCCGGCTGCTCACTCGCCTGGCTTTCTTCCCGACTCTTCCAGAAGGACAGGGCAAGGGTTTCTTCCTCCTACCTTCTGGTCCTTTGGAGCCTGTCTCAAGAAAGTCTCCCACATCTCCTTTATATCCAGGCGTCACAGACCTGCTGATTAGCCTAAAAGCGTCTTATCTCAAGAAATTAGGTCCACAGCTCCTGCCACATTAAGTCCATTTTACGCATAATAAGGTTGCCCTTTCCACCTGAACTGGGCTAATCGATGATTAACATTTGGGTATCTCCAGTTGCCGGGAGTGAGGGGCAGGTCACCTTAAGCGTCCCCTTCCTTCTCCTCCCTCCTCGCTTCTCAGCACGGGACCCCCGTATTCTTCTAACCCCACCTCCTTTCCAGGTATCCTCAGAAAGGGTGCCCTGGGTGAGGGGAGACTTAGGTCAGGTGGCACTAGCTGGGGTAGGACCGCTCCCACAGGCAATAGGCTACCCCTGGGTCCAAGACAGTGGGGCACAGTCATTGGAACCCCAGTTTTGGATAGTGACCCACAGCTCTGGCAGTGAAGCAATGTCCCTGCTACGAAATCTAAGGGAGTGTCCCTGCTGGCTACAGAAAGGACTGGAGAGTGAGAAGGTTGAGGGACCATGAAGGATGGGGACTTCCTGGGGTAGCTGGGAACTGGAAACTTGCAGTCAAGCTGCCTTTCGGCACAGGGGCAGGACAGAGTGGGGGAAAGAGGTACACTCACCCCTTGGGAACTTGAAGGAAGGTGGGCAGCTGCAATTCTATCTGTAAAGATTTATGACACCCAGTGTGGACCTGTATCTGCCATCAGACTGGGGGACCGTGAGGTCATGCTGTGCCTTTTGGTCTGAGGGCTCTCCATTGCTGGGGCTTTGTCTCCCCCATCAGACTGGGGGCTCTCTGAGATCAAGAGCCCAGCCAGGGCTATCTGTTCCCCGTCCTACGAAACCTCCTGCCTGAAGCTATGGCCATGTCTGCCCCTTAGAAGGGAAATTCCTCCAGGGGTGCCTGGGTGGCTCAGTGGGTTAAAGCCTCTGCTTTTGGCTCGGGTCATGATCCCAGGGTCTCTCTGCATCGGGCTCTCTGCTCAGCGGGGAGCTTGCTTCCTCCTCTCTCTCTGCCTACTTGTGATTTCTACCTGTCAAACAAATAAATAAATCTTAAAAAAAAAAAAAAGAAGGGAAACTCCTCCAAATACCGCCTCTGCCTTTCTCCAAGTGCTTAGTATATGCCTCTGTACTCAGGGCTGGGTTTAGAAGGAGCAGGGGAGACCTCCAAGACCTCCAAGACTTCCAAAGCCTCCTTCCTGGGCCCTTCCTTCTCCACTCACCGTAGTACTTTGAACCATCAACAACCAAGCTCATGCTCCGCTTATGAGCTCCAGGATCTAATAAAGGCCACTTTCCTTTCCAGGTAAACTGTGGTCAGGAAGCAGCTCCAGCATGAAATTAAGTGCTTGTGTGGGATGAGAGGTTACTGGACCGGGGGGTGGGGGGGCGCAATTCACTTCTGCTTCCTAGAAACCTCGCCCACCCACCACCCATTTTACACAATCTAGGAAAAACTTCTCTCCGGGCGAGCTCTCCAAATTCCATCTCCCGGCTATCCACAGGCAGTGATTACATGTCATTTCAGATTTGGTCTCCGAATGGGATGTGGGGGCGCTTGGGATCCTGCTTCCTGTTGAGCCACAGTTAATGGGCTCAAAAGGGTTTGCGTCAAAACCTGGGCACCCCAAGCAGGGTGGACACCATTCCCTGGAACTCCTAAGTCTAATGCCAAACCAGAGTCAAGGAAGGTTCTAGAATGGGTCCCTGCATCTCTGAGTGCCTGCCTCACGCCCTGGGGATTTGTTTTGGGGGCAGGCTGCTCTGAAGGCCAGTTGTGCCTCAAATTCTCACACACACCCCCTTGGAGGGGACCTCTCTGCAGCTCTCAACCTGTGTCCCTTTGATCTTTGGCTCTCACACCCTGCAGTGGACACACTAGGGAGAATGTAGCCTGGGCCCTGGGGGAGGAAGGACTGTGGGGAGAATCTGGGGAGAGGATCAGAGAAATTGCCAGAAGCCCAGGGGAGCCCACAGCCCCCACCCCTAGAGCATATCGGGAAGCTGGGGAATGGAAAAGATGTCCTTCTGAAGTTTCTAGGGAATGGAAGGGCCTGCTGCCCTTGATCAAAATAGTTCAGTAGGGCGCCTGGGTGGCCAGTGGGTTAAGCCTCTGCCTTCTGCTCAGGACATGATCCCGGGGTCCTGGGATCGAGTCCCACTTCAGGCTCTCTGCTCAGCAGAGGGCCTGGTTCCCTCTCTTTCTCTCTCTCTGTCCGCCTCTCTGCCTACTTGTGATCTCTCTCTGTCAAATAAATAAATAAAATCTTAAAAAAAAAAAATAGTCCAGGGGCGCCTGGGTGGCTCAGTGGGTTAGAGCCTCTGCCTTCAGCTCAGGTCATGATCCCAGAGTCCTGGGATCAAGCCCCGCATCGGGCTCTCTGCTCAGCAGGGAGCCTGCTTCCCTCTCTCTCTGTCTCTGCTGCCTCTCTGCCTACTTGTGACCTCTGTCTGTCAAATAAATAAATAAATAAATCTTAAAATAAAAAAATAGTTCAATAACTCTACGGGCAATTCCACCAGGCTGTCCGAGCACCATGAGAAGTGCCCTGGTGTGCAGGGGTGGAAACAGGAAGGGGGCTTGGGCAGACCCTCAGCCCACTGAGGAGAATTTCCAGGATGTGAGGGGTCAGGGAGGTCACAGGGGATGGGAAAGCAAGAGGAAGCCTGGATACAAAGGCCAGTGGCCCAGACAGGTGGAGATAGCTGGGGTGCGCGAGGGGTGTCTAGGATACATGGAAGCCAGGCCATCAGTGCAGGATGGGACGATGGACGTATGCTTGCCAGACACCCCAGGGTCCTGCTTTCCAGACCCTCCCTGACTTCTGGACCCAGGCCCCAGGAAGAGAACTGGAACCGCAGAAAAGCCTGTGGGGCTTGCTGGCTCTACCCTCTCCCCGTGGTGACTCACCACCCCCTCCGCAGCCCCAGGGCCACTGCAGACATTCCTGACCCAGCTCTGCAGCCAGGCCAGGGTGACTCAGAGGGCTGACTGCAGCCTCCCTGCCGGGGACTCTGCTTCAGACTTCTCTTGGTCTTCAAGCTCCCCGGCTGACTCAGAAGGCAGACATCCCTCTCCCAGCTCTCCTACACCAGGTGGCAGATTTATACTTCTTCTCCTGCAGAGGAGACAAAGGGACAAACTTTGCTGAGTCATCGGGTCTGTCTTGATCCCTAGAAGGGTCACCTCCAGCTTTCCTCAGCAGTCGTACCGCAAACCCAGTCGTGGTCCCAAACATTTTTGCCCACATCCAGCCTCAGTACCTCTCAGGCCAAGATAAACACTTTTCAGGGGGATCTTCGAGAAAGAATATATTTAGTCAAGAGGATTGTGCTAACTTCTTAGGTGACGGATGGTAACTACATGTATGGTGGTCTGCATTTTGTAATGTATACAGTTGTCAAATCACAATGCTACATCCCCCCAGCAAATATAATACATCAACAACACTTCAATTAAAATAAAGAAATAGGGGCACCTGGGTGGCTCAGTGGGTTAAAGCCTCTGCCTTCAGCTCAGATCATGATCCCGGGGTCCAGGGATCGAGCCCCGCATCCATCGGGCTCTCTGCTCAGCAGGGAGCCTGCTTCCCTCTCTCTCTGCCTGCCTCTCTGCCTACTTGTGATCTCTGTCTGTCAAATAATAAATAAAATCTTAAAAAAATAAAATAAATAAAACTCCCCATTAAAAACACGGAAGATACTATTTACAACTTCTCTTGGCCATCTGCTATACGGAATCAGTTTGGAAGTCCCCTCTCAGCTCTAACCCCAATCCTTCTTGCTGTTTTCAAAGGCCATATTTTGTCTGCTTTGGTTCGTCAAGAAAAGAGCTCAGCCCTTAGGAATCATGACCTAATCCATAGGAAGAGAACTGTGGGGCAGTGTTAGAACGGGGAGCGGTGGCCGCAGGGGCTCTCACTTCCAGAGAGGCAAGAGCTAGTGGAGCATTTAGGGTGAAAGGCCAAAGGGCAGGGCCTCCCAGGGAAAACAGCCTTCCTGACCCCTTCTCTGTCCCGTAGGAGTGCCTCCTACGGGACAGAGGTGAGGAGTGACAAGGAAGGGCTTCCCCTTCATTTTCCCTGCAGGGGGACAGTTTCCAGGGTCCCCAGTGAGGCCCCCCACCACATACCCATGCCTGCGGTGGATAAGGGGAGGGTCTCCTGCAACCTCAGCAACCA